TCATTCCAGACAAATAAAAAGTAAACATGTTTGTAAAAATGGGCGAGACAAAGAATAAGAAGAAAAGAGACCAAAAACAAAACATTTCCGAAAGAAAGAAATGTGATTAGGAAGTCGTAAACTGCAGTGAAGAATAGGAAGAAATAGAAATATTAGAAATAATTAATAAAAGTAAGAACGATTTTGAAAAACTAAAGGAAAACTTAAAATAAAGATGTCAAATGAGAGCTAAATACAGATGCCGTGTAAAAAAAGAGATCCTCAAAGGAAAAAAAAGAAGAAGAAATAAACGAAGGAAGAGAGAAAGATAGAAAAGAGTCCGATGAGATGTGAAAAAAAGAAAGAAAAATAGAAAATGTCTGATGAGGAAAGAAGAAAATGTTAAGGAAAAGTACCATACGTAAAAAGAAGAAAGAAAAGAGCCACATATAGAAGGGTAAATGGAAAGCGAAGAAACATAAATAACATATGAAAGAGAAAACGTGAAGAAATAAATGACGATAATGAAATTAGATGGAAAAAACAAAAAAGAAGGAAGGAAAGAAAGAATAAAACAAAGAAAGTAACAAAAAAAAACGAAAGAGAAAATGAAAGAAAGAAAGAAAAGAAGATGGAAAGAAAGAAAAACGAAAGAAAAATGAAAGAAAGGAGAAAGAAAGAAGGGAGCTAAGTAAGAAAGAAAGAAAGAAAGAAAGAAAGAAAGAAAGAAAGAAAGAAAGAAAGAAAGAAAAGAAGACGAAAAAGAAGATGGAAAGAAAGAAAAACGAAAGAAAAACGAAAGAAAGGAGAAAGAAAGAAGGGAGCTAAAAAAGAAAGAAAGAAAGAAAGAAAGAAAGAAAAGAAGACGAAAAAGAAGATGGAAAGAAAGAAAAACGAAAGAAAAAAGAAAGAAAGGAGAAAGAAAGAAGGGATGTAAGAAAGAAAGAAAAAAGAAAGAAAGAAAGAAAAAAATGAAGACTTAAAGAAATAAGAAAAAACAAAGACATAAAAAAGAAAGAACATAGAAAAAAAGAAAGAGAATAGAAAGAAATGAAGAAGGAAAGAAAGAAAAACGAAAGAAAAAAAAGAAAGAAAGAAAGAAAGAAAGAAAGAAAAAATGAAATCATAAGAAAAAAAAAAGAGAGAAAAGAAAGTAAGAAAATAGAACCAAGGTAGAAGAGAAGAAGAATAAATAAAGTTAAATATAGATGGCTGGAAATAAAATATTGTGCAAGACAACCAGCGAAAATAATTAATATACATTAGATAGCGTTAATATAAACTTGCGATAAAGAAAAGACCCAAACAAATGATAGGAAATAATAAATATACGTTGCTCCAACTTAACAAAATGAACAAGAATGAAAGAAAAATAAGCCCGGAGTAAAGAATAATCCAGCTACAAATAAATGAAAAAATAAGAGAAAAAATATCTAAAGCATTTAATAAGGAATATAAAGAAAGATAATATAAAGGAAAAAATAAAACGCAATGAAATGAAAAATGTTTAATAAAGGAACCTAATTAATGAATGAATCAAAGAAAAAAATGAGAGTGTACAAGGGAAGAATAAATGAATGACGTAAAGAGAAAGACTGCGGTTTATTAAGAACGAGAAATGAACGATAAATGAAAGATAATAAAAACGGTTTGTAAGAAAAACGAAGGCAAAAATATATCGGAAAGAGAAAAATAAGCAGTCAATGTAAAAAGAAATAGTGTAAAAAAGAAAGAAACAAATAAACAGACAAAGGAATGAATGATGAAAGGAAGTAGCCTGAACTAGGAAACATGGGAACAATAGCTACAGACAGCGCTAATGTAAGGAAATAATGAAAATGCTGAAGAAAAATAGAAAAAGAAAATAAGAACAAGAAACGAGAGAGAGAGAGGAATGAATAGTGTTGACGTAAAATTAAATGAATGCAAACAAAAGGGCAAGAGAGTAGGAAAAGAAAAAGGTGAAAATGGAATGGGATATTATAAGAAGGAAGACGGATATATATAAATAAATGGAAAAAACGAGAGTAAGAAACAAGTCAGTAAGGGAAAAAAGGAGATTAAGAAAAAGGAGAATGAGTAAAAAAATGTGTAATGAAGAAAAAGGAGAGTAAGGAGAGTAAGAAAAAGGAAAGAGAGTAAGAAATTGTGTCTAAGAAAGAAAAAGGAGAGTAAGGAGAATAAGTAAAAGGAGAGAGAGTAAGAAAATGTGTCTAATGAAAAAGGGAGAGTAAGGATGAAATAGATGTGTACTGAAAAAAATGATGAATGATTTAAAAAAAAAATGGAGATAACTAATAAATGAACATGACATGAAATTAGAAAAATCGTAACAAAGAATAAAACAAAACAAAAATAGTTAAGAAAGAAGAAAGAAAGCGAGATGAGAAAAGAAAGAAAGAAAGAAAAACAAAAAGAATGAGTTACTTAATGAATGAATATTCTTTGAAGGGGAGAATTAAAATCAGTAAGAAAATAAACATGATGGATCAATAAATCGATATCTTGGTAGATGGATAATTATTACGTCGCATATTTAGCGTATCATTTAAGAATTTTAAGTCTTATATCGTGAACTTTTCCTTGGAAGAATTCTTCACTAAAATCAGAAGATATTCGTTTTGCAACGCAGACAGAGGCAAGAACAGACGCAGTCATTTTTTTTTTTTAGCCTTTGTTTTTCTTTCTTTTACCCGAGATGCAGTTCGGAGAAACACTTCCAATCGGTAGTTGATTATAGACTTGAACAAAACTGAACGACGTCCCTCATTTAGTAGTCCAAGATATTGGCTGGCCTGTAATTATTTTTCTAATTAATCCGGCAAATTAGTCGACAGCCAAGTTCAAATGCGCAAGGCACCTCCTCCACCCTCTGGAAAAATGCTCGTTGTATCTAAAAACAGAAATCAACTAAACAGAAAGAAGACATGTATTCTTCGAGTATCGACGTAAAACTCTTTATGAAAATTACTTTCTCTGCTTAATTTCCACCAAAATCGGTTTAGTTACAAGCAAATGTTACAGAAAATTCACTATATACATAGTGGACTCTCCGGTCGGTTTCGACGTATGAAGATACAGCAAGTTAACTCTTTGAATGCTACATTATCCGCACATATTATTTGACTATATTGGTGAAGAATTGTGAACCAAACACAATTATTTCAAGAGTTGAATACACAGAACTGATGCACATAGTGTGCCACAAGATTACCAAACGACCATCCGCAGTTTTTGAAATTAGAATTATCATTCTCCTAGACCGGTTGCTACCCAGTCTTCCTTGCTATTTACCCATGGCTGGAGGACAAGAGATGGATTCATATCTTTACAAAGGACTGACTTTACCGATTCAATGTGCTCTCTCTCTCTCTCTCTCTCTCTCTCTATATATATATATATATATATATATATATATATATATATTGTGTGTCTATTTCATTAAATAATATAGACAAGTGTTGTCTATTTATTTTATGTAAATTCTTTTCATAACGTCTGATAAGCTTAATAACATTAGCGTTAAACGAAGAAAGAAAATCACAATATGTATGAAAAATGTATGAATATATATATATATATATATATATATATATATATATATATATATATATATATATATATATATATATATATATATAGTTAGTTATGAAAACTTGGTAATCCGTATGGGTAGTCCCAAGGAGGATGAAATCCTGAGAGCTCAATGTAAATCCAGAGCAAATAATTTAAAGAAAAACTGACCACTTTAAGGTTCCATTATAATAATTTATTTCACCAGAGCTCTTTTAAAGGACGCTGGATCATCAGATAACACTTCTAAATAATGAAACGAAAGATGAAATGAAAATTCACACTTTTGACGGGTGATATTAAGTTTATGTAATTTAACAGAGATGGTAACGAGGAGTGGTGTGAGAGACATGGTCGAGTTTAGAGAGGGTTTATTTTAATATTTCTTTCAATATAGATAGATAAAGTTCATAGATATCTTTTTTTAGTTTCTACAAGTTTAACCAATGTAATTTAAGAAGCAGTTCTAGTACTTTATTTTATACCATATACTTATTATTTTATACAATATACTTATTATTATTTTGCTTTGATCATATCTATAATAATATTAGATGCGGTTTTAATTAAGTTGATGTTGGTCATTTTGAATAAAATGTTTTGGATAGTAGATATGATTGAGTTAGTAGGTAGTATTATGTGTCTATATATATATATTGTTCTAACCGCTTTAACTTTTTTTGGGGGGGGTATCTTTCATGTCAGCAGGCATAACTAAATGCATGAATGATTTCGAATCACACAATTGTCAATTAATCAAGTTTTGGACTGCTTGTAAATATTGTTCTCGGCAGATGATCTCAGTCTTTCTAACCGTTATTGGCTGAAAGTCTTTTGAGACGAAAACCGGAAGGAAACGACGGTTCTGATAATTTGCAGAAAGAATTTAGGTCTGGTTGTCAATCTATAGAGAGATGGCAACTCTAAGAAACAAAAGCAAAAAAAAAAAAAAAAATCACCCAGACGCCTGGCAAATCGTCGGAAAATTCCACCTGGAAAGAGGTACAATGATAGTAATTCTTTCACGTGAGTTGCGCAGTAGGTCAGAGGAGGATAAACATCGATTTTTTAACTTCCGGTAAATGATAAAGTAAGTAAAAAAAAAAAAAATAGACGAAAAAGAAGTTTAGCAAAAAGGACTATGAGTCGTTTTTGATTTTTGATTTTTTTTCTTTAAAAAAAAAAGTGTTGTTGACGTTGATTTTTATCTGTCCTTTTACTTTGGCTCTGTCGTAAGATAGTACAGCTGAATTTTGAATTTTCCTTAGAAGAAGAAACGATTGAATTACTCTTGAATTCTAAAGTCAAAATTTACTGCAATTTTCCAAGAAAGAACGTGTTTCGTATGCTCGAGGGCCAGAACAGACCAGAGAATCAAGATGAAATATAGCAAAACGCTGTCAGAAATCTATAGAATCTTGGCCGAAAGATTACAAGATCCGACTAAACGACGGTCAATGTCTATATAAAAAAATCACAAAGAATTCCACTAAAATTGGGGTAAATAAAAGTTGATGAAAAGTAAATCGTTGAAGGATTTAATATGCCCAACACTACGTTTGGTTTATGTGTAAAAAAAAAAATAGAGAAGAATTTCTGGACATATGATGGTATTAATGTATGGAATAATGGATATATGATGGTAATAAAGTCTGAAATAATGGATATATGATGGTAATAAAGTCTGAAATAATGGATATATGATGGGAATAAAGTCTGAAATAATGGATATATGATGGGAATAAAGTCTGAAATAATGGATTTATGATGGTAAAAAAGTCTGAAATAATGGATATATGATGGGAATAAAGTCTGAAATAATGGATGTATGATGGGAATAACGTCTGAAATAATGGATATATGATGGTAATAAAGTCTGAAATAATGGATATATGATGGTAATAAAGTCTGAAATAATGGATATATGATGGGAATAAAGTCTGAAATAATGGATATATGATGGTATTGACGTGTGAAATAATATATATATGATAGTATAAAAGTGTGAAATAATGGATATATGATGGTATTAAAGTGTGAAATTATAGATATATGATGGTATTAATGTGTGAAATAATACATATATGATGGTAATAACGTGTAACATATTGGATATATGATGATATTAAACTGTGAAGTAATGGACATATGATGTATTAATGTGTGACATAATGGTTATATGATGATATGAATGTTCCCATGGTCTTATGATGGAATTAAAGTGTGGAATAATGGACATATAATGGTATTAAAGTGTCACACGTCCCCTACAGCGTAAACTAGCAGTTGGAACATGTACTAACAATTAAATACAAATACTTTATTTACAAATGTCTACGATTTATTCATATCTTCTACATGATGGCTGTCAGACATAGTTTGCACAACATTGCGTGGATTGATTTAATCCCTTATTCTACACGTGTCTGCCGAGTCCCCTCAGGACATAGACGATATTGGCCCTCCACAACGTCCTGTTCTTTGTAGCTCTTAAGAAATTTTGTATTTTTTTTATTTCTCCCAAACACAGTTCCACCATCCATTTAGTCAAACTCATTATGTTATGTGTTGTTATCTTCTGTCCTCCTTGTCTTCACTCAGTTCCGTGAGTATCAGATTTTCCAAACTTTCTTTTCTCATTATTGCTCCTAGAACTTTCAGTTGCCTCTACCTAATATTACGTATAATTTTCTTTTTGCTTCTATTTTCATAAGAAATTCGTCGTTGCTCATATATTCGGTCCATGGTATCCCCATCATCCTTCTGTAGAACCACATTTCTGTTCCTACAATTTTTATTTTTCATCTTTGAATATATTGTCCAGAATTCATTGCAATATAAGAGGACATATTTCAGATGAGATTTCTGTACTTTTTCCTTGTTTCTAACAGTGTTTTCCTGTTTTTGAGGACTCTGCTTAGCTTATGGAATGCCTCTTTTCATTTCGCAATGCGTCTTCGGATTTCAGTGTCGCACTTAACGTCGTATTCCATTCGAGTAGACTGATGGAAAGTCACTGATGGTGTCGTTAATGACAGAATCATACCACTACGGTATGATTTGTATTACTAAATCCAGTAGCGGTTGCTCGTATCTAAAACTGACTAGGTTGGTCGCTTTTTACCTAAGGTTACCGAAAGAGAACTTTGCATTTCAGCGTGATTTAATCGTAAGTATATACGCTGTGTTTAGTCTTTACAAATATACTTCGACGACGTTAACTCGTTTGTAATTTCACTGTGGTTTCTGATAGGTTTTGTGATATTAATCCCTCCAGTTGTTTTTTTTTTTGTTAATCTGCTTGTTGTCTACACTGTCATGTAATGCTTGATTTCATTTCATTTCCCAAGCACCATGAGTAGCTCCGACGGATATGTGGTTATGTTTGAAACCATATAAAAATGGCGAGAGAAGCAATTAGTGTAACAGCCATTATAACATCCGAATCAAATGATATATTGGAATTACAAAGACTATATTGTCTGAAAGGATTATCTTCTGTAAATACTGGTATCGAGATTTTTGAGCGATAAACGATCTTTGGTATATATATATAACTTAAAAAGTAATGCATGGTTAGCAATTAACTTTTTACCGAATAAAGATGAGGGTGTAATGTATAAATATTATACAAAGTTACAAAAATTTTGTTCCATTTAATCTTTATTTAATAAAAAAAAACCAATTATGTAAATTTTTGTAACTTTGAATAATATTTATGCATTACACCCTAATCTTTATTCGGTAAAAATTCCATTGCTAATCATGCATTACTTTTTAAGTAATACACATATTTATGTCTTTGTTGTTTCCGTTCCTTATCTTATGGCCGCTACTGTATATATATATATATGAAGAAATATTTTGAAGGTGTGCTATATTTATGGTATAAAGTGCTCAATATCAAATACAGAGCGTATGTATAAATATAAAAGTGAGCATTGAAGTCAACACTCAGAGGCGACAGGCTGTTTCATGCTAGACGCAATCGCCAGGCGGTCTGACGATTGCGTCTTGCATATAACAATCTGTCGCCTCTGAATGTTGACTTCAAAGTTCAATATATATATATATATATATATATATATATATATATATATATATATATATCTGTGTGTGTGTCTATATATATACATCTGTCTATCTATCTGTCTATCTATCTGTCTATCATCTATCTATCTATCTATCTATCTATTCTATCTATCTATCTATCTAAATTCTCTATCTATCTACCTAACTATCTCCATTCATATGATTGTCAAATGCAAATTATGTTACAGAATATTCCTACAAACAGTTTTGCCAAAGTTTGCAATAAGCATTAATAAGAAAAATAAAATAAAAGAACAGAGATAAAACAAGCAAAAAATTATATGCAAAGCAAATTATTAGTAATAACACAAAGCGACAGCAAAAAAAAAATCACAGCAAGTACTTGTTTGCAAGTGTTTTGTTGTCAGTCATCCTCAGATTGATTGGCATCATATATATATATATATATATATATATATATATATATATATATATATATCTGTGTCTGTGTGTTGGTGTTAATCTTCATATCAGTGTGTGCCTCCATGTGTGTACAATTTACCATATGTTCCTCCATGTGCATACAGTTTAACATATATACCTCCATGTGTGTACAATTTATCATATGTTCCTCCTTGTGTGTACAGTTTACCATATGTGCCTCCATGTGTGTACAATTTACCATATGTTCCTCTATGTGTGTACAGTTTACCATATGTGCCTCCATGTGTGTACTATTTACCATATGTTCCTCCATGTGTGTACAGTTTACCATATTTTCTTTGTAGTTTCTACGAATTCTTCAGCTTAAAAATAAGCAGGATCTTATCTTGCAATTGGGTGTTCTGAAAGACAAAAATTCCTAAAACATCGAATTTCTATGTCTTGGAGAAGATGCATATAGATTCCTGGTGTGCAGATCTCTTTTGTATATACTGGTATTTTAATGGTGATCGAAACTGAATCTGAAATTGGTAAGTCGTATTACATTACCAGCTTAATCAGTTGCATTCACTTAAGCAGTACTGACCTGAGTATGACGATAAACTACATACGCGTCCTGGGTACGAAAATAAACTCAGTCCAACAGCTAGGCCTCTGATCAGGAGGTTTTGGAGCGTGTGGAACCACCTCTTAATTGCTTGTGTTCCCAGATCCACCCTGATCCGGGGTGGTAGCACCAGTACGGGTCCCAGCTATGGGCAAATAGTTAACACCCAACCTCAGATCAAAACACTATGAAAGTGTAAAAATAGGTTTTAATACCAGAAATAATTTGAATAAAAAAAAAAAATTACCAGCAATACATTTTTTGAAAAAAAAAAATTATTACCAGCGAAGAAATTTTATCAGGAAAAAATATTAACAGAAATAGATTTTTGGAAAAAAAATATTAACAACAATGAAATATTTTGTCGGCATTAAATAACCCATTGAAATTGATATGCTGTAAAACAAATCAAAGCAAATCACTTAAACAGTAATAACTTTCTAGAAGACACGAATACGTATATGCTGTCCCCAGCTATGGGTAAAATAAAAGAATAATCTGGCATTACCACGAATGAGTGGCAACTAGTCCAATAGAAGAAAAGCCCTACATCCAAACCTAAGTGTAATCAAAGGGAAACAATTTCTTTATATTTCGCAAAAATGCATATAAATTTACAGATCATATATATATATATATATATATATATATATATATATATATATATATATAGAACCATATATATATATATATATATATATATATATATATATATAGAATATATATATATATATATATATATATATATATATATATATATATATATATATATATATATATATATATATATATATATATATATATATATATATATATATATATATATAGAAACATGATCACCTACGTTCTTAAGGGACATGACATTAAAATTGTTCGATTTACCCCTTTTCCAACAATATGTAGATGTTTTACAGTTTATTAAGAATATAGATTCATTTGGCATGACGATCACATATAACCCGTAATGTGATGAGTCATTATTCACGTTGCTTTAATGAATAATATATACAGAGTATCGAATTATATATGTCTCTGTAGAGAGAACAGATAATGACACATGAACTGGCGGGTGACCTTATGAGTAGCATAGGCACTGTGGAGTAATGGAAAGCGGCTAGGATTGAAGAATCTGAGTTCGATTTCCAGTCGAATCCATTACATTCAATTACGCGCTAAGACCCTTGGGAAAGTTATGAATCCTTTTCTTCTCCCCCTACCCAGCTATGGGTAACTAGCTGAACTGATCGTGTTCTATAGCCTTGGATGGTAACTGGTCAGAAAGAAATAGTAACCTACTGCGGAGAAAAAGATCTACCTGATGAGTCATTGATCCAAAGATACATGATCGTGTAAGCGTGTTATGATACATAACTAGCTGATTATAATTTTTCTTATTATTTTTCGGCTTAAAAACCCAGAAAAAAATAAAGTGGACCAGATATTTAGTTCATTTCGGAATATTTTTTTTTTATTTTTATTTCACAGATGGTCTTCTAATCATTATCTTTTGATTGATTGATTTGTTAATATACGGATCATCAAACCCTTACATGTTATTTAAAAACCCATCCAATTAATCAGAGGGGAATCCATACCCTTCCCAATGATTTTTGCGCGTCTATGAATATAAAAAAATGACTGGAACTCGACTGCCCGTTTTCCAGTACCCGGATTGGATTACAACACCCACGCATTCAAACTTACACCACGTGATATTCCCAAGTGGTCACCAATCTAAGCATTGGCTAGGCTTGACGTTGCTTAACTTCGGTGATCGTACGAGAAACGGTGTTTCAAAGTTATAGGGCCGTTTGCCCATTTGATTCCTAATACTGAATATCTCTAAAGGTGAAAAATAAATTCAGAATCTCCTCATTGATATAAATATAGTTTTCCAAATATGCCTTCTGGTTTCAAATTCAAAGAATTCCGCTTCTTCTATGCGTCGTCTGCCTTCAAGAACGTTGACGATCATGAATCTCCACTATTTCCTCTTCTTTGTAGCTCTTAGTAAATCATCTCATTTTTTTTGCCCCTAAAACTTTGATCCGACATCCATTTACTTACACTCACTGAGTAGATCATACGTTGCTTTCCACTGTTCCTCTTGCCTTCAGTCTGTCTTGTGGATATCAAAGATTCCAAGCACTCTTTCCCCTTTATCTGCTATAGATATTTCAACAGACTCTTCCTGATGTTAAGTATGTGTCCTTTTAGTTTCCATTTTCTATGAAACTTCGCCATTGCTCACATGCTCTGTCCATGATATTCTCAGCATACTATTGCGGAATCGCATATATGTTGTTTTAATTATCTTCTTCTTTGAGAACATTGTCCATTATTCAATGTGTTGTAACTAGAAAAGGTTACTGAATGAGGAATACCCAAAACGTAGGTTGGAAATGAAATGGTAATCTATATAACATCAACAAATTACAATACTCGCCAGCGACGGGAAGTAAGTAAACCACTACTAGTTGTGGACTAATTAGACACCATATTACCGACTTTACAATAGTGTCCAACGTATTTATGAGGATTGGGACATACTCATCAGTGTTCATAGGTAAGGTATGTAACACAATGCCATATAGGATGACTGATATTGCATAACAGTTTAGTAATCTGGCAACAACAAATATAAAACATTATGTAGTAACTGCTTTTTTCTGATATGGGCGAATCACTAGCAGCAGTTGAAACTTTTATTATTGAAGTTTTACTTGCATCTTCACTTAAAAACGAGGAACAACTTAATTTTCAGTATCTCTCTATATTTCTGAGATGAGGTATTATATACACTATATACATTATTCGGACTATTGTTCTCATCTTTGTTACCATATTTATCATAACGTTTCGTCCGTTGTACGCTCCGGAATTCTTCAGGTGTGCCATGTGTACTTAGGTAGATAAAGGCGTTGGTTAGATCCAGTGACAGTCTGAGTTCAATACCTGGTTAAAGCAGTATAGAACTTGGAGAGGTGAATTAGCAGAAGACAACTGATAACTGACATCCATTATATATGGCACGTGGAACTAGAACAGTCTACCACAGTGAGCAAAATAAAAGGTTCAGTTTGGCATTCCAACCACCTGAAGAAGGCCCGAGCGCACAACGGTTGAAACGTTGGGATAAAAATGGCAACAAATATGAGGACAATATTTCGAATAATGTAAATAGTGAACATAATTTTCCGAAACCATTTTTGTTTTGTCGTTCGGGTTTGCTCAATATATATTTTGTTTACTTATTCTCGTGTAAATTGAGTAAACAGCTGTGAAAGTATACGAATGATTTCGTTCTTAATATAATTAAGTTAAATTGTCTTTCGAAAGTTGAAGATTGGGCTTTATTTGTAAATCTATGATTTATCATCAGAGCTCGACTTTTTGGAATGGGCCGAGGAAGGTTGGGGAATACATGATAGAAACAGATTATCTCTCAGAACAAACTGTGGGCATCTGGGGTATGTCATCTCTACGGATATCCTGTTTTACAACATTGCCTTTTTACTCTGAGACGTGCAAACCATAAAATCCTACAGAAAGGCTAAATCATTGGCGTTGTTTTGCTCATTATCTATAAGTTTTATTGACACAGCCGATTAGACAAATGCATGGTCGGCGAATGGGATGACGCTAGTAGGTTTTTTGACTAGAGATTCCTGTTATTAGCTAGATATTCAAATACGTTTGGGAGATAGTTTCGGTTCAATAACGTTGTAACGGAAAAATACACTGGTCCTAAAATTACAATGACAATAAATCGTTTGGGAGCTTTAAAGTCTCCAAAACAAAACTGTTGTCTCTTCGTCATTTTAGAGGACTATTCCATCATCACGTTTGATGCCAACGGCGGGAAGAGCAATCCATTACACATTTCCGTCTCCAGATTTTCCACAGATATCATTTCGAATGATTATATCGAATTAATTACTATAGATACCAACACAAATAAAAAAAAAACAAATACGTAAGGTTCATAATGAATTTTTAAAAATGAAAAATCTTTCTTGACAATTTTATTTTAGTTTTAATTTCAAGCTAATAGAGTAAATTTAATGTTTCCAATAAGCAAATTTGGTGCATTTCATAAACTAATTTAAAACGAAATTAAATTATCTGGAAGAAGGTTTTTTTTGCTAAATTAGTTGATTAGCGCCCTTTTGAGTCGTATTTAATCGTAATATAATTCTCTTTATTAAATATCTTAGAAAAATAAAGTATAATTTTCTGAATCTTTATTAGCTGAAATAAAGTAGAAATAATCTGATTTGGTACAAAAATTATTTACTTTAACATTAAAATATCGCAGGGATTATTTTTTAAGCTGTGTTTTTAATCGACAGTAGCCATGTTTATGTCTTTGACGAGGTGATGCTAAATTGCTTGTTGTTCTATGGAGAATTTATCTGTAACCTGTACTTTAAGAACATGGCGTGAGCGCCTTTTTATATCATTTTAAGTACTCAATAATCTTGCACATTTTTCAAAATGTCTCCGTAAACCAATGTTTGACATGTTGACTTTCAATTTATTATAATAGTCATCGCTCTTTGATTCTGATAATGTCTTGCAAGGTGGCTTAAACATTCAAAATATTTATGATAATTAAATATAGTTTTCACATAATAATAATATAATAGAAAGGCTGAAAGAAACGAATAAACATCAATTGCAAGAAACAGAATGCATGGCTGTTAGCAGAAAGAACAGACTATCATGCAAGTGTTTTAATAGAGGAGTCAAAGTGCGATACAGAAAACCGAAAGTGAATTGAGAGAGTAAAAAAAATGCCTTCCAAAACTTAAGCAAAGTATTAAGAAACAGAAACATTTAATTAACATGGGTTATTTATTGCTGAATTATAAATATGAAAATTCAATCTTTATGGTTACTTCAAGAGAGTGACATTATTTCAAGACTGAATTATAGTTATGTAAGTTTATGTTTTTTAACAAATAATCTTACAAAGTTTGTTTCTCCTTACAAAACTCGGATTAAACACAGAAATCTAAAGAAATATTGACATAACTTTTTTTTCTACTATTATATACATTGATTGCCATCTTAATATAAAAATGTATTGCTGGTCAGTTTTCTATAAAATATATGTTGTTGATCATTTAACCATAAAATGTATTGCTAGTTGTTTTGTTTTAAAATATATTGTTGGTAATTTTTCTATAAAATGTATTATTGGCATTTTTAAGAAAATGTATTACTGGTAATTCCATTACAAAAATGGTAATTAATTTATTGTTATGGACCGGTTCATTGTACCACGGAGATAGTCCAAGGTAGAACCAAATAAGAAGAACTCGAAGGCAGATATGGAATAACATAGATATATTACAAACAGGAATATATACAGAGAAGTAGAAAGGGTTAGTACAAACAATTAGGTTTAGTAGTCATTGTCTGAACGCGACTCTGTTTCGGGCTGCCTCTGACTTGACTGACTGACTCCTGACGGACTTCATTCCAGACTTCAGACGGAACTCAGAGTGCAGACGGAACCCTCTGCTTCCTCTTGAGGCGCAGTATTTATTATGTATGGAATAGTCCATTATGTTATTATGGTTAAGGTCCCGTAACATTTATAAACTTGTACTGCAGGCATTTTTAATATAAACATGTATATTCATATTTACCTAGTGTTTTGATTATTGTTTGAGTAATTAATATATAAACTTGTATTGCACGTATTTTTTAAAAGCAACATGTATTTTTATATTTCCTAATGTTTTCATTATTGTTTGGGATTCAATAGCTGATACCTTAACTGATTTTGGGGTTCACTAATTGGGATCATAACAGGTGTTATTACCCAGGGTCAGAGTGAACCTGAGAACGGCGGTAATTAAGAAGCAAAACCACCAATATCCCGGTGAGAAGCCTTGCTGCCGGATGAAGTTATATCGTCATACCCAGGACTTAGAGAGTTTTTGAAGCCTAACGCAGTTATCTATCTCATCGTTTCTGAAGCGTACACAAAGTACTGTTAAAACAACTAATGAACTTTTTTTTTTTTAATCCGACATTTTTTATTACTCCAAGCATTATATTTTGTCGAAAGTCTTATTAGAAAAGAGGGTCCTTCTTTTTTGTTTAATTTCTTACAGTGAATCTTGTTTTCGAATCTGCAGTTTTGTACAGGTTTTGTACGAAGTGAAATAGAAGACTATGATGAGAAAATTTCCATACATCAAAACAATATAGCGCTTCGACGTGTTGTAATGGTTAGTATACTTGTCTCGCTAGATCCTCACTAGTTGCCCTATCCTTTTGGCTTTATGAGACATCTTCGCTACGCTTAGAAAATCAATATGCATGAAAAAAAATATTGGTCAAAGAAATTACAAAGTAAAAAATATTTCTTTAACGCGTTTCGTCCACTAGAAAGATGCGTTTTTGTTGTTTTTGTTTTTTATAGAATCGTATATGTGCAGGAGGGGACAATATAAAAACGCCAGAGTCGCTTACAATTATGCTTTGATACGAAACAAAGAAATTCTAATTTAATTTTTTTCATTCAGTAGTACAAGTGTACGTAATTTACTATGAGGAAAATGTATAGAAAGTGCTTTGATCGATAGACAATCTTCAGTAAATTTGTCTCCAGGTTCTTATAACAATTAATCATCCTTGGCAATTCTATTAGCACGATTCTGGATAATTAATAATAAAAGTGATAGAAGCAAAAAATATAAGGAAACCTGATGAAATCGCCGATATTGCAACACTAGACAAGTTTAAACAATAAAATACATTTCAAACTTTTAAAATCCAGAATTTCCATAACT